GACAAGGCAGCCAAGCGGGAAGCAGCATCCTGAGAAGGAGCAGCAACGACACGTGTACCGAGACGAGTGGGGTTGAAAGTAATGGAGGCATCCACGGAATCAATGAGATGTCGATGAAGGGAGAAATCGTCAGGAGGCGCAGAATCAAGAGGGAGGAGATCAAAATATTTGGCCCACGAAGCGGGACCAAACAAGGCTTGATAGGTAGCAGAACTGGAAGGAATCGAGCGAGGGCGGCCGTGACGAGGACGGCGGTGAGAACCCCCAGAGAGAGAGGGGTTAAAAGGCGCAGTAGTTACAACTAGAGAAGGAGCCGCGCCAGGGGACGAGGTAGTCACCACTGGGGGCTTGGGGCTCGACCCAACCACAGAGGAGGGAAGGGAGCCAGGGGAAGGAGTCAGAGAGGCCAAAGGAGGAGCAAGGTCGGGGCCCAATGCAGCGGAGGCTACAGAGCCCGGTCTTCCAATACGGACCGACTCGGGGGCTTGGTCGCCCACCCCACGAGCCTGAGAAGGGAAGCTAGAAGCAGCCGAAACAGGGGTTTTCATCGTGACGAAAAGAAAAATTCACTCACGAATGTGCCCCCACACCCACCATGGAGCCACAATTAGAGGCAGGACACCCAACAAGAAGCTATCGCCGATCTTGTCGGGGCCTCCTAGGGGTGCGTCGTGAGTATACGCCCCACAAACGCCACCTTAAGAAACCGACAGTCCGTCGAGATCGGGTTCAGTGACGAAGTGGGGATTGACAATAAAAGGTTCCCCTCGCTCTCGACGTCGGGTACTGCAGTTCTACGGGTGCATGAGTATGCCTCCTCAAGCACCCGGGCGTCAAAATAGAAGAAGTCCATGGAAGAACCAGAACGAGCAAAAGGTCGGCAGGAAACGGCAAGCAGATAGGAGAAGAGGGGGGAGAAAAACGAAACAGAAGGAAAAGGAAAAGGTGCCCAGCAGAATTGGAGAGGACGGCAGCAGGAGCACAAGGCTAGAAAAGGACAGAGGACTGTCCGAAGGAGCATCACACTCCGGCAGCCGCCCACGAAGCCCCCACACGGCGACAACGAGCTGAGCGGGGAGGGGGAAATACAGTGGAACCTCTATTAACGAGTTTAATCTGTTCTGGCACCGAGCTCGTTACCTGGAAAAAACTCGTCTTAAGGGGGCATATCAAACGCAAAAATTCGGAAAAATCGAATATTTTGGAAAAATTTATAAAAATACTACAACGTTCTGGCAACACTTTGGCGCAAACACGATAATGTTATGATATAAATTAAAGTATTTATGGTACATTTCCATGCGTAATTGTGCAGAATCCGGTGCCCCGCGGCTGTGGCGCGCCAGGAGTATTGCGTCGTACGTTCTAAACGTCAATTTTTTCGTAATAACGTCGGAAATAACTATGTATATATGACAACAAATATACACTAATTGGCAACCGTCTCCTAGTGAAGGTGAGTGAGGTACCCAGCTATAGTCACATGGTGTGTCCTGTTGAGAGTGGAGGTATCGATGCGCGCTCCATTTTGGCTCCTGAAATCTCGCTTTAGTAGCGTCTAGTGCACAATGACCTATAAACGGAGGACTCGGAAGACAAAGGAAGCCAATTTGGCACGCGGTCGCCGTCTTTGGCAGGGAAAAGAGCCGCTGTAGCAGAAGGGAGAGTTATATCAAGTGAGGATGTAGGCGGCCTCCCCGCCTCAGCTGTGAGAGGCCTGACGCCGCCGCCACACGCCTCGACCCTCCTCACACACACTCCTCAGCCCCTCGATGTGTATGGACCAGCCACGACAGTGCCATCTACATCTACTGGTGTGGCAGTGCCATCTACATCTACTGATGTGGCTGTGCCATCTACATCTACTGGTGTGGCAGTGCCATCTACTGGTGTTGCAGTGCCATCTACTGCTGTGGCTGGTGTTGCAGTGCCACCTTGAGGACCCACAATTCGGACCAATTTCAATAGGTTAGTATCTTTTAGTGTTATAATTTGGTATTTTGTAATAAGTATGTGCAGGATATATATATGTATAATTTTTTATTTTTTTATTTTTTTTTTTCGTTTGTTATCAGGGGATGTGCATGGAACTTGCACACCTTGCTCAATGGATGCCTATCTGCAAGGGTGCCAATTATGAACAAAATCTGTCGAAGTCAAGCTCAGCAACAGGTGGCCGAACTTTGATCTTATTTTACTCAGGTAAGTAATTTACAACTTCAAAGTACTTCATAGCTTTCATTTATTAATCAATTTACATGCAAATTACACCTTATATGTAGAGTTTGTGCTTCTACAAAATCTAGTAGACATTTTAGTCCAAAGTCCATTTGTTGATTTTATAAAAATTTATAAACATCATATATTGCATATTTTTGGAAGGGTAACTTTGAAAAATTATATTATTGCACTAAACACTTTATTGATAAAACTGATCACTACAATCCTTTATTATGTGCTAATTTTAATATCTGAGTGTTATAGAAATGATTTTAGTTGACAAATGTGGTCCCTAAAATTATTTGAAAATGTTGAAAATTCGTTGCATAATACGTTGTGTATTTTTTTTCTCCTTTTCTGTTTAGGGTGTGATGGTGAAACTTGGACCAGTTGCAGCCCTTTCTATAACCATTTCATAAATAAATTTATAAGCAAATTGAACAATTTTTAATTTCACCTTGATATGCCCCCTTAAGAAACAAATTTCCCCATTTAAAATAAAGGAAATAAATTTAATCCGTTCCACTCCCAAAAACATCCATATTTGTATGACATTTTTTTATGTAAATATAATACTGCACATGTAAATATAAATGTTTTGTTGTAGTGTTTTAATGTTTACTTTACCTTATGAAGAGTAGTTGCTGGCTGGAGGGAGACGATGGGGAGGTGGGAAGGAGGAGAGGGGTTATGGTGTGGAAGGAGAATCCACCTCTAAGTCAGGCGGACTCTCTCTTCTTGGGAATTTCACCCAAATTTCATTTCAAATGTCACACAAAGATGCGTTAGACCAGCACCAAATAAAAAACTACGTCGATTACACTCGTTGTGTCAACAATATAATAGTCTTACCACGAAGATACAATACAATGCCGTTCTCCCAAAGAAGCAATGTGGTTATTAGAGAAAACGGAAATTTCATGGCAAACATGTATACAATCCCCAAGTCGATCGGATAAGAATTGGATTTTATAGAAATATTTGCTCAAATGACGCTTGAACGCAGTGTTTGGGTGCATTCAAGAGAAAAACGTGTGTCACGTTCAAGCGACATAAACAGTGGTACCTCGGAATGCGAGTGTCCCTGTATGCGAGTTTTTCGGAAGACGAGCAGGATTTACTCCAAAAATATGTCTCGGAAGGCGAGGGTTACCTCGGGACGCGAGTTTGTTGATACGTGTACAGGCCGACTGGCGCGTGGTGGCATGGCGATTGCGCCTCAGTTTACCAGTGTCTCGTGTCCAGTGACTATCCCACCTGAATTCTTCACAAGGATTTACAGTTTTTTATCGGTTTTTTGGCCATTTGAGCATAAAAGTTGTCATTATATATCTTGCAATGGGTCTCAAGAAAGCCATTGGTAAGGTTCAACCTAAGAAAATAGCTGTGAGTAGAGGCAGTAGAGGATGTCCCTTCTTGATTAAGAAAATGTGTGAAGTATGGGAAGAACTGCAAAGTTTTGTTGAAAAAACTCACCCAGATAAAGCTGTAGCAGGCCGTTGCATTGACCTTTTAAATGATAATGTGATGTCTTACTACAGACAAGTGTTAAAATGTAGGGAAAAACAAGTGTCATTAGACAAATTCTTAGTAAAACAAGCAAGTCCTAGTGGTATGCAGGCAAAATGTGCCAGAGTGTGCATACCAGTGAAGTCCTCACTGCCTGATGTGATAATGGAAGGGGACTCCCCTTCCAAACAGTAACTCCTCTCTTCCTCCCACCTCCTACCCATCTTCCATATGCCTACAGCAATCAACAGCAAGGTAAGTAATAACTTGAACATAGTTTTGTAGGTTTATTTAGATGAATTAGGTATAAAAATTTAGTTTGATGTGGGGTTTTTGGGGTAGTCAAGAACGGATTAGTTCATTTCCCTTTATTTCTTATGGGGAAATTAGCTTCGGAATGCGAGTTTTCGGAATACGAGGCGTCTCCAGGAACCAATTAAACTCTTAAACTGAGGTATGCCTGTACCTGCGAAAGTGATAACACTTTCACAAAGTGTTATCACAAAGTGATAAATTAATTAAACATTTTCACACACCGGGTTGTCACTGCTTTATCAGGGCAGCTTTTCCAAGAATGCGTTCACCTTTTCAAACACTTCCCTGATCTCAGTGGAAGAGGCAGCATCCTCCCTTACCTCCTCATTCCCTTACTAATGGTGTAAATTGTTGATGAGGACCTGCCATACTCCCTTGTGAGATCAGTCACACAGACACCACACTCATGCTTTGCTATAATTTCCTTCTTCAAATCCACAGTAATTGTGTCTTTCTTCCTCTTGACAACACTATCTTTAGCAAGCAGCTTCTTTGGAAACATCGTGTGTTACAAATTGTAGTCGCAAAACCACTAAAAACTCAAAGAAAAGCTCAAATAAATCCAGAGGGATGCTTGTCGTGTGCGATACAACAACAACGTCCGAGAATTTGCGAGAACCCGCGAGATGCTAGGAAGCACCATGTGGTTTTGCTCGTTAATAGAGGCGAGCTCGTCAATAGAGACAAATTTGCTGCGAGTGGCTTGCTCGTTACTGGAAAAACTCGTTAATAGAGCCACTCGTTAATCGAGGTTCCACTGTATTAGGCTATTTTTACCTCATAGCATTTTCTTATACATTTTCCAATTACATTATAATCTGCTTAAATTTCCCAAGTGTTTTTTATATGTATAGAAACAGACTATATAAAGTACTGAGAACATGAACAGTAAGACAATGCAGGAGTAACATCAGGAAATGCCGTATTTAGTATGTGAAAAGTATGACCAGACTTACTGAAGATGAGTGAAACCAAGTGTTGGTCGATCTTTTTGCTCTAAGGAAAACTTGGCTAATCGGTGGATGCATCTTGCAACTTTGGGCAGTAATATGTCAAATCCATCTCGAAGAACAATCAAATCCTGTAATTAACAGCAATTGTGATCAGAAATACACAACAGCATGGATCACACAAAAATTATTCAACTTGAAAATCATTTTGAGGCCATGAAGTGGCTCGAACCTGTGTTTGTGAAACCTGCCTTAACCATCTCAGCCATGATGGTACAAAAGCCGGCCAATCCAGAACTCTATTGACTTAATCATGGCAGAGTTGGTTGGGGCGGGTGTCTGGAATTCACCATAATGCGGGTTCGAGTCACTCCATTGCCTCAAAATGATTTTCATCGATATATCAGGCCATTGTGATATCTTTGTGACTATTCAACTTAACTTTACGATGCCAACCTTGCAGTTACCTTGCGTTATTTCAGGGATCAACATCCCAACAGCCAGGTTTCTGACCAAGTCTCCTGGGTGATGGTCTGGTCTACCAGGCTGTTGGACACGGCTGCTCGCAGCGTGGTTGATCGGGTATCCTTTGGAGGTGTTTATCGAGTTCTCTTGAACACTGAGGGGTTGGTCAGTTATGCCTTTTGTGTATAATGGAAGCGTGTTAAACAGTTTATGGCATCAAATGTTGGTTCTCTCTCCGAGTACCAATTGCACCTCTGGTCTTCAACGGGGGTTCTCTGCATATCCAGCCATCCCTTCTGGTCTCGTGTGATGTTATTTCTGAGTACAGATTTGGGAGCAGCCCCCTCTAATATATTCCATGTGTAAATTATTACGAATCACTCCTGCCTGCACTATAGAGAATACAGATTTAAGCATTTTAATTGGTCCCAATAATTTAGACATTTTATTGAGTGGATTCTAGCAGTAAAGGATATCTGCATGCTCTCCAGATAAGCAATTTCTCTAGCATTGAAAGGGCTGTTATTGTGTAACAGTATTCCACCTTAGAGTACAAGCATCTTGAAAAGTATCATCATTGGTATAGCATCTCTTGTTTGAAAGGTTGTTATCCAACCTGTCATTAAGCAGACAACCTGTCACTGTAGTGTATTTCCAAAGTGCAATACATTGCAGTCTCTCAAATCCAGACCTCCCTATAGCAAATCCCCATGATGTTCGTCCTTCGGAGTCAAAGATGACCATAACTTTAATACTGTATATCAGGTCGAAGGTTGGTGGCTATGTGTCAGATGATGGAGGACGAGACCAGATGAGAAGATGAGTCTGGAAGGCTCTCCCGCACACACAGGACATATGTTGGTGGGTGCTACTGTAAAGGTGGAGGATGCTCTAGCTTTGCATGTGGCGTATTTTTTCTGGCCTTCTGCAGTCAGTCTATTTTCTGCTTTTATCATCCACTACGGGCTCACCATAGCCTGTGCTACTTGGAACTTTTTGTTCCAGGTAGCGAATCTTTAACAACAACATGCTTCACGGGCCTTTGTGGTGACTATGCTTTACCAAGTTGGACGGCCCCGAGCAAGTGACTCCCAAGTGTTGGTGTTGATGTCCAAGTCACCTTGAGGTAGTCCTTGAATTACTTTTTTTTTTGAACCCCCAACTGAATGTGTGTCCTGGTGTAATTCTCCATACAACAGCTATTCAGGCAATCGGCTGTCAAGCATTCTGACAATGTGGCCTGCCCATCTGGCCTCAGTTTTCTGTAGGAGGCGGGAATATAATACACTGGGAATAGCATATCCCTATAAACGGCGGAATAAATATGCCCACCGGATTTCCCTCAGAAATTCTGATTTCTAAAAGTGGAAAAACTGTGTTGAATGAAAAATGCCTCTATCTGGTATGGTCTTGGTGGCTCCTTGGTGCTTGCAGCCAGGCAAGTTCCACCTAATTCAATCCATGCCAGGCCCCTGTGAGACATGTGTAAGCCCACCAAGGATCAAAGGTCAAAACTTGGTCCCATCTAAAGACGTACAAGAAGCAATGAATAATAGATCAAGGTCAAAACTTGGCCCCATCTAAAGAGGTACAAGAAGCAATGAATCACAGCTCACCTTAACCAAGAAAAGACAACCAGAAAGGAGGAAGAGACAAAACAGATGACAGCAAAGTAAACATATCATAGAAAAAGGGACAGTGAAGCCCCTAAGCTCATGAATCACTCAGTGGTGAAGCAATTTTCATTACAGTGTATAGTTAGCTCTAAATGGTTACTAGAAGAAAGTAATTATCAAAAGAAGGCACCAAGTCGGGTGGCTGCTGGAATTCAATCCAAATAAGTGTAAAGTAATGAAAATAGATAAGGGAGACAGGAGACCTGTATTTAACTACAACATAAAAGGAAGACAATTATAACAATAAAAGAAAAAGACACAGGAGATTATAAACAATTAACAGTAACTTTATTTTATAATGCAAATTAATTAACTCAAAGTAAGGTAACCCTATGCTAGCAACATCTTATTCTTTAGGGGCACGGTAATTGATTACAAATTGTACAAAGAACTCAAACACCTTTATCACTGCTTCTGCACAGACAATGTTGTGGCCTCCTGGTGGGCTAATACCACCACCCCCCTCCACCACTAGTCCAATTCACACTAAAGATCTTCAGCTCTCCATCCATGAATTCAAGGTGAGGTTCGGCTCAATCCACTAAGGCTCATCTTGTCCTAGAAAATCTGCCCTTCTTTCTAGACTTACACCCAATCAGCTGAAACCAGGCCTAGATGCCCTGGCACCTAGGCCAATGAGAACTAGACCTAGGCACTTGTCCATTGAAAAAACATTTAAAACTCCAGAGGCGGAGTTTTTTCACAAAACAGGATAACTAACTCTGGCCTACCAAGAAGGTAGTCGTGACGGGTCTCTTGTAATTCAACACAGCAGTAAACCTTACGCCCTCACCGACCCAAGAGAAAAACAAACACAAATGGTTCAACCAATAGCCGAGGGCTGGGAGAGTAGGAGTGGCCAGAAAGGGGGAGAAGAGAAAAGGAGAAAGAAGGAGGGAAGAGGAGAGAAGAGAGGCAAAAAGGAGAAGGAAATAATAATAAGGGAGAGAGTGGGAAGGAGAGAGGGAGGAGAGGCCAACATGTCTAGCCGTTAAACCCTCAATATATTTTTTCCCATACAGTATTCAACAATAATACTTGCCATTTCTCTGTTTAAGTTGCCAAAATTTATTAATTCAATCTTTGAAAAAAAAAAGAACTTTCAAATACTGGGCAGGTGTTAAAAGCTCACTTTCATCCACAAAACAATACTGGTGCAAATACATACTGTATTGTCGCCCACGTAGCAAGATGTAGCTCCCAGATGAATGATTGGAGCAGCTTTTGGGCAAGCTGCTGAGAAGGTCCGAACATGAGCCATGGTATCATGTCTTATCTTTTCCTCCTCTTTTGCAGCAAATTCATAATCAATATTATACCAGTTAGCTTCCATATCTTTAATTTGTTCATCTGTAATAGGAAGGCCCAATTCCTGGAATGAAGTACAAGTAGGTCCTTTTAATGTTATAAACTATATAATTTCAAGTTACAGTAATTAGAATATCAAAATATGCCAGTCATCCTTAAGATCAAAACTTTCCTACATTGATACACTAAAAAAAAACAGTGTTGAATGAAATGAAATGCTTATTTCTGGGTGAGCTCCAGTGGTTCCTTGAAGCTACTATTTCTGATAGTGTGCCATACTACTAACGAATGCCCCACCTCTCCCTTCGTTTTGGGAAAGGAGGGAGGCAGTCCGCGGTAAGCCAGCTGCACCACCTTCAGTTCTTCAGTTCTACGATGATGCAAACAGCCCCAGCAGCCTGGGAGGGAGGGAGAGTCAGGGAGCCACCAGGGTTCATCCATAAACTGGCATTTCACTACACTGGTTTTCTGGGGGTGGGGTTGGAAGCGGGAAGCCCTTTGTGACTCCCCGAGAAGCTAACTACCCACGGAGAAGTAAACAGCTAATATTTACTAATATATTTACTATGACCAGGACGAAACTCTCGGTCTAGAATCCCAACCCAAATCCACACAAGAACACTGGGGGCTAGGCAAATTAACAAGATACCAAGCCACCAAAACCCCTGCGTCCGAATATCTGACCAGGAAATATTCGCGAACACAGCTGAGGGAGCATAGCAGCACATTTTAAACCCTAAAAAGCCCAAAGAGGAAACTGATGATGCAGTAACCCACGAAAGGCCCTTTCTGCACCTAATGATCGCTGCAGCATCAAAAGTGGCTGCCCCAGAAAATCAAGAACAGCCTCTGAAGCTAAACCCTGTCCAGAGGATACACAAGGACGGCAAAGTTGAGGCGCCAGCACGACTGCTCGAGCAACCACCGAGTCACTCAGGGCCAACTCCACAGCAACAGAGGGTAGTGCTGCAGCTGAGACAAGGTCACTGGAGGCAGGGAAAATGAAGCAGACAGAGTCCCAAACAAGGCCCAGCCAAGTTCAAACCTGGGACTGAATCGAACTTCTGTCAGATCATCCGGAACCAGAACTCCTTGAGCTTGGAAAAAAATCAGATCCCTGGCTAGCATGGACCAGCTGGAAGAAGTAAGGTAGAACAAAACACCAAGCAAATGAACACAGACCACCATGACCCAAGCTAAGGATGTAAACATGCATGAGGCTAGATTTAGACCAAATGGGAGAACACAAAAGTGGTAAGCTTGATGCCCCACTACAAAACCTACCTAATCCCTGAACCCCGAATAAATAGGGACACGTCAATATGCATTCCAGAGATCAAGGGAATTCACCCAAACATCTTTCTCGAGCACGAGACAGACCTGTTACAAGGTGGTATCCAGAAGGTAGGGCAAGGAATGAACTACATCAATCGGGAAAGGTTGAGAGCAAACCCGAAAGTCTAGTAAGTCTCATATCGGGACAGGGAGAAGACGGAAAACCCACCAGAGAGATTCGGTTACTTCAACCCCACTCGAAGCCACCCATTCCAAAATGACCCAATGGAGATGAGGAGAAGAAGCCTGCCCAGGAAGGGCCCGAACCCCCAAAGGAAGAACGGAACTACTGTACCAACTCCAAAGCAGGCTGCAGGGAACAACCCAAAAAACCAGCATAGAATGTAATGAAACGCCATTTTCTGGGTGAGACCCAGAGGCTCTCCGGAGCTTACTAGGCTGATATGCTATTGTCAGACTTTGGCATCAGTCATGTGTATGGAGTTCTGTTGGCCTACCGGGGACCACGAGCCAGAACCTGGCCCCCTCAGAGAGGCACGGGGAGCAATGGCCTATAGACACTCCCGTGTGGTTGGAAGCATTCTATGTCTACCATCAACCAGGTCAGGCACCCAGAAAAGTAAGCATCCCAAAACAAACCCCTATTCTGGTGAAAATATTGCTACCAAAAGCCGAAAAACTGGATAGAACGCCCATAAAATAAACGAACAAACGGGCATGATGTCACACGTCGCCGCGCCGCTGTCTGCGCAGCTCCCCCTTCCCCCCGCCCCGGGAGGGGGAAAACATGTCTAGAACTGTGTTCTCTATACATGTTCTAAATACTATAGAACTCTATACATGTCTAGAACTATGCAAGACCAACACCCCCCCCCCCACCTGGGGTCTAGAACTATACATGACCAACACCCCCCCACCTGGGGTCTAGAACTATACATGACCAACACCCCCCCCAACCTGGGGTCTAGAACTATACATGACCAACACCCCCCCCCCACCTGGGGTCTAGAACTATACATGACCAACACCCCCCCCCCCCCACCTGGGGTTTAGAACTATACATGACCAACACCCCCAGGGTCTAGAACTATACATGACCAACACCCCCCCCACCTAGGATCTAGAACTATACATGACCAACACCCCCCCCCTTACCCAGGGTCTATAACTATGCGTGACCAACACCCCCAGGGTCTAGAACAATACATGACCAACACCCCCAGGGTCTAGAACTATGCATGACCAACACCCCCAGGGTCTAGAACTATACATGACCAACACCCCCCCCACCTAGGATCTAGAACTATACATGGCCAACAACCCCCCCCTACCCAGGGTCTATAACTATGCATGACCAACACCCTCAGGGTCTAGAACTATGCATGACCAACACCCCCAGGGTCTAGAACTATACATGACCAACACCCCCAGGGTCTAGAACTATACATGACCAACACCCCCAGGGTCTAGAACTATACATGACCAACACCCTCAGGGTCTAGAACTATGCATGACCAACACCCCCAGGGTCTAGAACTATACATGACCAACACCCCCAGGGTCTAGAACTATACATGACCAACACCCCCAGGGTCTAGAACTATACATGACCAACACCCCCAGGGTCTAGAACTATACATGACCAACACCCTCAGGGTCTAGAACTATACATGACCAACACCCCCAGGGTCTAGAACTATACATGACCAACACCCCCAGGGTCTAAAACTATACATGACCAACACCCTCAGGGTCTAGAACTATACATGACCAACACCCCCAGGGTCTATAACTATGCATGACCAACACCCTCAGGGTCTAGAACTATACATGACCAACACCCCCAGGGTCTAGAACTATACATGACCAACACCCTCAGGGTCTAGAACTATACATGACCAACACCCCCAGGGTCTAGAACTATACATGACCAACACCCCCAGGGTCTAGAACTATACATGACCAACACCCTCAGGGTCTAGAACTATATATGACCAACACCCCCAGGGTCTAGAACTATACATGACCAACACCCCCAGGGTCTAGAACTATACATGACCAACACCCCTAGGGTCTAGAACTATACATGACCAACACCCCCAGGGTCTATTTTTATTTTATTTTATTTTATTTATTTATATACAAGAAGGTACATTGGGTTTGTGAGAATACATAGCATAGTACAGTAATTGCACTCTTGTAAAGCCACTAGTACGTGCAGCGTTTCGGGCAGGTCCTTAATCTAACAGATAATTTTAAGTAGGTAAATTCTATCAGAATTAATAAAATGATAACAAATACATTGCAAGAAAAAAAAATGAGATGAGAGAGATTAGTAAGTATATTAAAGCACATTGGTATATTAAAGCTCTGATTGATTACATTGACAGCTTGATTGGTAATTTAAACAAGATTAATAGACACCATACAGCAGATTGACAGTACATATAAGAAGACAGCAATGATCGCAATGATAAAGATGTTCAGATTGGGTACATAAAGATTGGGAGATTGGGTAGCAATAGATACAGTGCAGTTTTAAAGCAAAAGGTAAAAAACTATGAAGATGAAATTAGGTACTTTTTAGTATTCTTTTTGAATGATGCAAAAGTTGGACAGCTTTTCAATTCAATGGGGAGCGAGTTCCATAGACTGGGTCCCTTTATTTGCATAGTGTGTTTACACAAATTAAGTTTGACTCTGGGGGATATCAAAGAGATATTTATTTCTGGTGTGGTGATAATAGGTCCTATTATATCTGTCCAGGGAGAGTTTCAGAGCAGGATTTGCATTTAAGAACAGGGTTGTGTAAATGTAGTTGACACAAGAGAATTTGTGGAGTGAGATTATGTTTAGCATGTTTAGGGAGTTAAACAAGGGGGCTGAGTGTTGTCTGAAAGCAGAATGTTATTATTTTGAGAGCAGATTTTTGCTGGGTGATGATGGACTTGAGGTGGTTTGCAGTGGTTGAACCCCATGCACAGATACCATAATTAAGATAGGGATAGATTAGTGCATAATAGAGATGAGAGCAGAGTTAGGTACATAATATCTGATTTTGGAGAGTATACCAACTGTTTTAGAGACTTTCTTAGTTATGTGTTGTATTTAGGTACTGAAGTTGAGTCTCTTGTCTAGGAATAGGCCAAGAAACTTTCCATCATTTTTGTTGCTAATGTTTACATTGCCTATCTGAAGCTGAATTGCATTTGTAGATTTGCTTCCAAATAAGATGTAGTAGGTCATTTCTTTGTTAAGTGTTAGTTTGTTGGTTGACATCCATAAGTGGACTTTTTTTAGTTCATTATTAACAACATTATTTAGTGTATGTGGGTTGGGGTTAAAGTAGATGAGGGTAGTATCATCAGCAAAGAAAATAGGTTTCAGAATGTTAGAGACTTTAGGCAGATCATTGATGTAAATAAGAAATAAGAGAGGTCCCAAAATGCTGCCCTGTGGCACTCCAACGGTTATTGGTAGAGTGGGAGAGGTTATATTATTGATGGCTACACATTGGTGCCTATCACTAAGATAGGATTGGATATAGTTCAGTGTATGGCCTCGAATTCCATAATGATGGAGTTTACGTAAGAGGTAATTGCGATTAACAGTATCAAAGGCCTTTCTCAGGTCAATGAAGAGTCCAATCGGAAACTCATTTTTGTCAAGGGCTGAGTAAATTATATCAAGGAGACTAATAATTGCATCGTTGGTACTCTTTTGGGAGCGGAAACCAAACTGACAGGTGCTAAGAAGGTCAAATTTTAC